ATTTTGGGTTTTTTTTTTTTTTTTTTTTTTTTTTTTTCTTGCAGTTCTTGGGAGAGTTTAGTGGAGGCTGGTGGTCGTTTACGATTATTAGGAAGTAAAGAAGAAGAAAAACAAAAAGAAATACAAATACAACATACACCTCATCTTAAGAGGGCACTACTTAGGTACTATTTGCTGCTGCTGCTGCTGCTGCTCATGCTGCTGCTGCTGCTCATGGTGCTGCTGATGATGGTGCTGATGGTGCTGATGGTGCTGATGGTGCTGATGGTGCAGCTGCGTTGTTGGGTTGTTGCTGTGAGGGGGTTGAGGTGTATATGCATATTTGCGTGCATGCATGCATGCATGCATGCATGCATCATATAGGTTGCTGTTTAGGGTTTAGGGTTTAGGGTTTAGGGTTTAGGGTTTAGCCTGTCTACCTATCTGCATGCATGCATGCATGCATGCAGGAGTTTAGTAATATTAATAGATGCAACAGATGGCATGAGGGAGACAGACTTCAAACCTGATCGATTAACTTGTGCTACACAATTGCTAGAGGTAGGGTTTAGGGTTTAGGGTTTAGGGTTTAGGGTTTGCGAGGGTTAAGGTTCTAGGCTTTAGGGTTTGCGAGGGTTTAGGGTTTAGGGTTGACGGTTTTATGGATTGTTGTATCTTCGTACGTCCTCACGGATGCATGAATGCATGCATGCATGAATGCATGCATGCATGTACTTATGCATGCATGCATGCATGCATGCATGCATATTGGGGCTTTAATTTTTGTTTGTTGTATATTTGCAGGAATTTTTGTCGTCTTTTTTATTACAAAACCCTTTAGCTCGTATAGCATTAGTGTTTATGGCGGAGTCAACAGCAGAGGTGTTATGTCCTGCTGCTGCTGCTGCTGCAGCAGCAGCAGCAGCAGAGGATCTATCATCATCAACAACTGCAGGAGTTGCTGGTGCTGGTGTTGTTGCTGCATTAGGAGGTATTGGTGCAGCAGGTGCAGCAGGAGCAGCAGGAGCAGCAGGAGCAGCAGCAGCAGGAGGAGGAGGATATACAACAGCAGCAGCAGCAGGACTATTAGCACAAGGGACAGCTAGCTACTTTAGCAGCAACGAAGAAGAATTAGTTGCTGCTCTTATTGCTAGAAGAAGAAAAAGAACTGCTGCTGCGCATGCACCTTCTCTTAAAAATGGATTAGATGTATGCTGCTGCTGCTGCTGCTGCTGCTGCTGCTGCTGCTGTTGCTGCTGCGGTTGCTGTTGCTGGTGGTGTTGGTGTTGTTGTTGTTGTTGATGGTGGTGGTGCTGCAAAGTCTGCATGCTTGTGCATGCATTGTGTTAGGGTTGTTGTTATTGCTGCTACTGTTGCTGCTGCTGCTGCTGCTGCTGCTGCTGCTACAGAGGGCAAGGGCGCTGCTGTCTGCTGTTCCTCCTTATTATACAAGAGAGGTCCTTGTCTTATATGGATCTATTAGGACTTGTGATGTTGGGTAAGAACTAGCTGCTGCTGCTGCTGCTGCTGCTGCTGCTGCTGCTGCTTCTGCTGCAACACAGCAGTAGCATTCCCCTTCTCTCCTGCTGCATTACATTGCGTCTATTGTTAACCCCAAATGCGAACATTTTAGTGTTTAGGGTTTAGAATTAATTAGGGTTTAGAATTAATTAGGGTTTAGGGTTAATTAGGGTTTAGGGTTTAGGGTTTAGGGTTTAGGGTTTAGGGTTTAGGGTTTAGGGTTTAGGGTTTGTATATGGTATAGGAGTATAGAGGATTCAATAAATGAATTAAAAAGTATAAAAGCTCGTTGCTCTGTTGTTAGTCTTGCTCCTGAGGTCCGTATTGTTAAGGTAAGGGTTAGGGTTAGGGTTAGGGTTAGGGGTTATTATATAAAAGGAGACACTTTTTATTAATATAATATATAATATAATAATATATTTATATATTTATATTAATTAATATAATTTATATATTTATATTAATATATTTATATTATATTTATTTATTTATTTATTTATTTATATTTATTTATGTTTATATTTATTTATTTATTTACTTATTAATTAATTAATTAATTAATTAATTAATTAATTAATTAATTAATTAATTAATTTATTAGGCATTAGCTACGAAGACAGAAGGGACATTTGGTGTAGCGATGGATGTATTAAGAACTATAAATAAATAAATAAACAAATTAATTAATTAAATTAATTAATTAAATAATTAATTAATTAATATAATTAATTAATTAATTAATTAATTAATTTATTTATTTATTTATTTATTAATTAGGCATTAGCTACAAAGACAGAAGGGACATTTGGTGTAGCGATGGATGTTGATCATCTTCGTTCTCTTCTTCATCAACATTCTCTTCCTCCTCCTTGGTATATTTGGGGCTGCATGCATGCATGCATGCATGCACGCATGCATGCATATGCTGTTTATGCATGCATATGCTGTATATGCATGTATATGCATGCATATATGTATATAAGCAGATATCTATAGCATGTCTCCTTTTTTGTCTCCTTTTTGCCTCTCTTTTCCCTCTTTGTATCAATTTTTATCCATTTTGTCTCCTTTTTGTCTCCTTTTTGTCTCCTTTTTGTCTCCTTTTTTGTCTCCTTTTTGCCTCTTTTTTCCCTCTTTTTATCCATTTTGTCTCCTTTTTGTCTCCTTTTTGTCTCTTATTTATATATAGGTTATTAGGCTTAGCCAACCATGCCTACTAATTCGTGTTGGTTTCCCTTCTTATAAGGAGACATCTCCTTTGTGTCTCCTTTGTGTCTCCTTTGTGTCTCCTTTTTGTCTCCTTTTTATGAATTTATCTCTTTTTTTTTTCTCCTTTTTTGTGTATATTTTTGTGTTCTTTTTATGTCTTTTTTTTTTGTCTCCTTTTTTGTCTCCTTTTTTTGTCTCCTTTTTGTATAGGTTATTAGGTCTACAGCCATGCCTAATTCGTGTAGGATTCCCTTCTTATAAGGAGACATCTACAGCAGTTCTTTGTTCTTGCCATCAATTACCTAAATATAATACATATACTTGTCCCCTATGTTATGCTAAATTATGCCATCTTCCTGCTACCTGTCTAGTAAGTATATTTATTTATTTATTTATTTATTTAATTTATTTAATTTATTTATTTATTTATTTATTTATTTATTTATTTATTTATTTATTTATTTATTTATTTATGTTTAATTAATTAATTAATTATAGTTATGCTAAATTATGCCATCTTCCTTCTACCTGTCTAGTAAGTAGTATATTTAATTTATTTATTTATTTATTTATTTAATTTATTTATTTATTTAATTAATTAATTAATTAATTAATTAATTAATTAATTAATTAATTAATTAATTATAGTTATGCTAAATTATGTCTTGTTCCTTCTACCTGTCTAGTAAGTATATTAATAAATAAATAAATAAATTAATAAGTAAATAAACAAATTTAATTAATTAATTAATTATTTATATTTAATTAATTAATTAATTATAATTACTTAATTAATTAATTAATTAATTAATTAATTAATTAATTAATTAATTAATTAATTAATTAATTATTATTTAATTAGTTAGTTATATGTATGGATTATTTGTATGCCATGTACCATCTACTTGTCTAGTAAAATAAATAAATAAATAAATAAATAAATAAATAAATAAATAAATAAGCAACATTGTATCTCCTTCTGCTTCTGCTTCTGCTGCTGCTGCTGGTGCTGCTGCTGGTGCTGCTGCTGCTGCTGCTGCTGCTGCTGCTGCTGCTGCAGTGTTGCTCATTACATTTATTATCTCCTGCTGATGTATCTCGTTCCTTTCATAGTCTTTGTTTACCTGATCCTTTCCAACCCGTAAGACAGATTGTCTCCTTTTTTTCTCCTTTTTTTCTCCTTTTTTTCCCCTTTTTTTTCTCCTTTTTTTCTCCTTTCTCCTTTTTTTCTCCTTTTTTTTCTCCTTTTTTTCTCCTTTTTGTCCCCTTTTTGTCTCCTTTTTGTCTCCTTTTTGTATCCTTTTCCTCTCCTTTTTTTTCTTTTTTTTTTACTGTCTCCTTTTTAATTGTCTCCTTTTATCTGTCTCCTTTTTTATTGTCTCCTTTTTATGTGTCTCCTTTTAGTGTCTCCTTGTTACCTGTCTCCTTTTTAAGTGTCTCCCTTAGGTGTCTCCCTCTTAAGTGTCCAACTGTCTCCTTATTTCCTGTCTCCTTTTATGTGTCTCCTTTCTATGTGTCTCCTTTTTTCCTGTCTCCTCTCTATGTGTCTCCTATGTGTCTCCTTTTACCTGTCTCCTTTTTTCCTGTCTCCTTTTATGTGTCTCCTTTTATGTGTCTCCTTTTTATGTGTCTCCTTTTTATGTGTCTCCTTTTTATGTGTCTCCTTTTTATGTGTCTCCTTTGTTGGTTGCTGCAGGTGAAGGATTTCCCTGATGATGCAAAGTGCTGCTGCTGCAACATGCCTCTTGAGCAAGGTATGATGCTTCCTGCTGCTGTTGCTGCTGCTGCTGTTGCTGCTGCTGCTGTTGCTGCTGCTGCTGTTGCTGCTGCTGTTGTTGCTGCTGCTGCTGTTGCTGTTGTAAGCACATAATAATAAGCGGCTTTCTTCCATATCTGCCCTTCAAGGCAGCAGCAGCAGCAGCTGCTGCAGCAGCAGCAGCGTCTGCCTTAGCAGCAACTGCAGCAGCAACTGCAGCAGCAACTGCAGCAGCAGCAGCAGCAGGAGACACAATGGCACTCTTATTTGTGTTTTATGTTTTGTTATTTGCAGCGTCAAAGTGCCCCGAGTGTCACAACATTTTCTGCAGGTTTGCTGCTGCTGCTGCTGCTGCAGTTGCTGCATTTGCTGCTGCTGCAGTTGGTGCTGTTACTGTTGCCTTAATAACGTGCACCCCTTTGCATATATGTTAGGGTTTAGGGTTTAGGGTTTAGGGTTTATGTGTATGTATGTGTATATACACAGAGAGTGTGATCTATTTAGTCATGAACAACTAAGACAATGTCCCTTCTGTGTTATGCAAGACATTAGCAGCATCAGCAGCACCAACAGCAGCAGCAGCAGCAGCAGCAGCAGCAGCAGCAGCAGCAGCAACAGCAGCAACAACAAAGGGGAGACACGCAAGGATACATAATGTTGCTTGCTTGCTGCTGCTGCTACTGCAGCAAGAGCAGCAGCAGCAGCAGCAGCTGCTGCTTGGCAGCGTAGTCTTGTATCCTTTATGGTGTATTTATTTATACACTATAAAATATCTTTTTAGCTGCCTATACACCCCAATCTCCTTCAGGTGTATACGCAGGTAGCCTTATATATATATATAT